TTCATCACACTATTTTCTATGGTTTGCTGCCGTCGGTCTATGCATGTCATCACTTCAATGGGAAACGAGAGGACAGTCAGTTGACTCAGTCTGCTGTTCACCACAATCTTCAGCAGAAAGCTGCATTTGACAACCATATTTGGAGAACAGGAAACTCTTTGGTTTGTCAAGCTCACTGCTTCTCTCATTCTACGCACTTTCTTCAACCATTTCCTATGACAGACTCAGCTGAAGTCAAACTTATGCATTAATGGATGAATAGGCATGTGTTCACAAGATAGCCTACTTTATAATGATGTTTTGAATAGAAAGTCAGAGATGTACGAGTTGTTGAAACACTTTGCTTTGTGCAATAAAATACGATTCTGTCATCATTTACTCATCTTCATTCTGTTCCAGACCCACTAGAAGTAGAATGACAGTCACCATTCACTTTCGTTGTATGGAAAACAGATGCAATGAAAGTGAATGGTGACTGAGGCTGTCAGGAACCAACATCCTGACATTAATATATTTTTATGTTTCAATGGAAAAAAAAAAATAGTTTTACAGTCAAGTTTGGAATAATATGACGGTGAGTTAATGTTGACAAAATTTTAATTTTAGGTAAAATATCAGTTTAATGGTGGCATAAAATAACTGAATGAACAACTGTCAAACACATATTTCAAAGTTATTACATGTTGACAGTTTCGAGATTCAGTGAATTATTAGCCTACTGTTTTTCTCACACAGCTCAGAACCAAAGCATTTTTTTACACACTTGACACTGTTTCAACTTAACCTACTGGCATTCAGTCAGATGATTCACAGTAGACTATCGGAAAGAGTGCAATGAATTATATAATGAAATATTAGTAATAACGCTGCATACTCACAAGGCTGATGAAGAAATGCCGCGATTTGGAAAGTTAGGGTTTGGAGAGTCCTGCGACAGTGAGGTAGGCTACTCCAAAGACGAACAGTCCAAATTAGACAGAAAAGTACGAGAACATCATTTAAACGGAGATGCGGATGGAGTGGGCGGGGCCTCACAATCGATCCGCGTTGTTATTGGTCAGTGCGTTTTGACATTTCAGGTGAAAGATAGTCTTTTCGGTCGCATCCATTTAAATGTCCTGTTTCAACACTATGTGAAACACTTAAATGTTACAAAAGTCCGATTAGAGTAAGTGCTAAGTTTTCAGAAGGCACTAATGATGAAAAAAAGAGAAATGAAAGTTAACAGGAATTCATCAGTGCACGGTCTAATGCTCCGCTCATATTTTTGCTTAAGCAGAAACGCCTTGAATTAAACACACATCTCAAATAACATAATCTTAATATCATTATATGATGGTAATAAATGTTATTTTTGGAATAAAATTACACAGATTTGATGTGTGATTTGTGCTCGCTAATTCTGATTTCATGCATTTTATTATTTTAGCCTACTTAAAACACATCATGTTTAATATTCAATAAATTAGCCTTTTTGCATAATATTACAAATTGAAAGCTTGACTGGAAATGACACGTAACATAACATTGATTTTTTTTCAGTTCTTCACACATTGGGTCTCAAATTTCATCTTAAGCATGCTTATTTCATTGATACAGTTGTAGCTATACACTAACTTGAGGGGGGAAAATAATAACGGACAAAATTGCTTGTGGTTGAAATGAGGCAACAATGGTGACATTTTTTTAAACAAATATTTAAATGATTTTCACACAATTTTGATTAGAATTATCCAATTCTTTGTATAGTTTTAAAAATGTAATTCATATTAAATTATATATTTTAATGCAAATTTAGTTGCACAACACAAATATTTGTGGCAAATGAAAAGTTACTGATTTAAAAAGGTTCACCCAGTTTTTTAATTCTGTATTAAATTTTTTTTGTATCCCAATCTTATTCCAAAACCATATGCCTCTCTTGTAGAAACACAGATGTTTTGCAGTATATGTTTAAACTGCTCTCTTCTTCCATTCAATGAAAGTGAATGGCAGGAGCTGTCAAGGACTACTAGAGGAAAGAAACAGAAGGAGCGAAACAAGAAAGCAGAGATTCCCCAGCCTAGACTACATGCTATACGCCACATCTGGACGAGGCGAATCCCCTGAGATCCTTTTTGGGACCCTTATCACTACGCACATCACATTCCGTCCCCTCCATTCCCACAACGGGCTCCTTGCTATCTAATGGAACTTCCTATATAAGGACAACATCATATTGCGTCCAGTAAATCACGTCTGTGATGTTTCAGGGAACAGGACCGTGGCTGGTATGCTTCGAGGCCTTGCTGCGGTCCAAAAGAGAGATGGAGGAGAAAACAATGCCTGCAGAGAAAGAAGCGCCTCTGTCACTGGTCAGCATCAAGCTTTACTGGATGTGCAAAGGGAAGGAAGGGAGGTAGAGAGAGTGTCTTGGAGACAGATGGTGAGAGTGAAAGTGAGAGAGGGAGATGCACAACTCTAGGTCTCTGTTGTGCCATATAAGGACAATGGGGTCTGCCTGGAATCTCGACTGTATTCTGTGTTTAGAAGGGAACACCGAAAGACTTGGATCGAGTGACTAAATATGGTGCAACAGCAGTGTCATTGTTAAGACAAATAGGCTTTCATTGGGATATCTTTTGACTGTTTACTCACCAACAATAAACTTCGGGGGACTGCAGACTCTCATTCCGGCAAAGACTATACCAATTAAGGAATGTGAGGTATTGCACCTGCTCATGCTGTATCCCACTGTAGAAACAGATATTTTGAGATATGTCCAAGCTGCTCTTTTCCATAGAGTGAACGTAACTGGTGACCAAAATTACAAAATAGTTTGTGCGACTAATTGTGCACTATTCCAAGCGTTATGAAGCCATACTTAAAATATTTTCATCAAAGCTTTCAAATATGCTCCTTTTTTAGGTTAGGTGATCATGAAGAAACAATGATTGGTCTTGAGTGCGCTGTATTTGAATATTCTCGAACACAAAAGACATTGGAAAACCATGGCAGAAGAGAAGATTATCAGTGAATAACAATGCACACAAAGATCTTGTATGTCTTTGAAAGACTTGAAATACGGTGCCTTGTAAGGTCAATTTTTTCATTATACTGTGTTGTACTGTTGGGAGTGCAGCAACAATATTTTTCTAAACTTCCCTTTCCATAAGAAAGTCAAGACTCATGAGGGTATACACTGTAAAAAAATAATGCGCTTTATTATTCAAAAAAAAATTTAAAAAAAAAATGGGGCAACAGTTTAATTACAAGCAATATTTTTAATTCAATTGAACAAATTAGAATTGATTAATTATTAAAATTAATTCCTTAAAAGTTAACCATTAAAAATGACTAAAACTTACAAAAAAACGTACATTTAAGTTGCCATTATGGTGATCAGTGTTTGTTGTGCTTGTTAACAATGTTGGCAATATAAATAAAGATTTCTTAATTATTCTTTGACATCCGTCTGTTATTCAGATATTTTTGTTTCATTTTTTTGGTATAAACTTTACTCATTTTAAATGGTTAACATTTGAGGAATAATTTGATTAATTTTTATTCAATTCTAATTTGATTAATTTAATTAATAATATTGCTTGTAATCTGTTGCCACAGATTAGATAAAGCACATTCATTTTTACAGTGTAGTTAATGCTTACCGAATTTATAGTTTTGCTAAACAATTCCTTATTTTCAATAAGTGAAAACCAATAAAATGTAGGAAAGAAATTACAATATGCAGACTTATACCAGTTCTGAAGTCCTCTTCAGCTGTGCCCTTAGTGGAAGAACACTCTATCAGGAATTAGTCCTGACAGACAGTGTGTCTAAAGGAGAGGAGGGAACGGGAAATATGTGCTAGATTAAAGCTAAGTGAGGCACATGCTGTTCGTCTCCTGAGACTCATCCAAAAACTCACTTGGAGTGAAGCCGTTCCCAGTAACTGGAGCATTAAGATTTGCCTACATTAGTAAAATGGAATGTCAACACCCTAGACAAAATCTTACAAGGTGTGTACCCATAGATACTAACTCAGGAAATTACATGTATAGTGAATTAAAAACTTCTTTTAAACAAAGAAGAACAAATATCTGTTATCTACAACCTCTATATTTTCAGTTCAGAAAGAAATCCCAAGTATAGATGTAAACACCATTTTAGAGAGTCATACATGTTTGGATATATTTGTCCCTTTTGGAATGCAGTTAGCAGCGGGAGAGCAAGCAAATATTTGGCTGCAAAATATTTCACATGATCTATCTGTTGATGATAACCTTTTACTGAAAGAAAATGTACCAAGACAATGCACTGGGAAAATTTCATCAAGCTTCCAACGAATCGCTTTATTACCCCTTATCTGTGATGATAATAATAAGTGCAAAAAAGATATCAAGTGAAGTATTGAGTGAGTATGAGGTGACTTACCTTTTAAGGAATAAGTGGAAACTTGAAGAACTTGGCAACAGATGATGTTTACAATGTTTGTGAGCTGCGCTGTTTTAAGGTGAAAGAAAACCAAACATAGTACTACAAAACAACTGCGATTCTTAAGTTTCTCAGTAGAAGCACTTAAGAAATTAAAGAATTATTTTTGTCTTTCGAAGTACAAGTACTTTCTGATGATACAGACAATTAATCAGTCAAAGGTTCGCTAAGAGAGTAGCTTAAACAAGAAACTGTAGTTCAAATGTCATTCCTAGATATGTTGGCTTTGGCAAGATGAAAAGAGAGTGAAGGATGAAAACCAATCAAAAGAAAGAATGTTCAAAGTTCAAGGACCGAGGGATTTATCAGAAAGACTCATGAAGCTATCTGAAAATCTAGGCTTGTTAATGTACTCCCATTTTAAGATGAAGACTCAAAGCACTTATCTTAAGATTAGCTTACCATTTTCAACCCAGACTGCTGAAATGACCAAAACGTGCATAATTGTCATTGCTAATGTTGTTAAAATCAGTAACAGATATGTGTACAAAAAATAACGCTGTTATTTTACTGCAAATGTAAATTTAATATTGCATGTGCAAAATTTAACATCGAACTGTTCAAATTCAAAATCAGACTATTTACATTTAATACATGAGGAATATGACTATACTGTAACGGACTGTATTTTTCTTAAGAACCTAAACTGAATAACTAATAGCATGAATATAGAACACAACATTAAAAATTAAATGTAGATATATTTAATATCTAAAACCAAAGTGATAGAATATTTTAGCCTCTTTAAAGGAAACTGTGCCTATCTGTGACGACATCCTCTTGTATGTTGGTTCTTGATGCCTGCAGAAATGAAAACACAACATCAAGCAGCCGAACGGGATGAAAGTTGTTCAGACTTATGAAACTAAAAGTTACATTTACACAAATTAAAACAATATGTACAAGCAATGTCAAACTCAAGCCCTCTCTTACAGTATCCATCAGGGTTATGACTCTGCATTGAGATGGCCATGTGGTTCTTGTGAATGCACTGTTGCCGAGCCTTTTAGGAAGAGTTTTCCTTTGTGCTCGTCTTTACTGCTGAGGAAATGATGGAGCAATCCATACATCAGTGGCCTAAAACAGTAAAAAAGAGCAAAACAAAAAGCATAAAGGAATGGTTCACCCAAAAATGAAAATTCAATTTTTAGAGCTTGACGCCCCTGGTGACCATTCACGGGATAGTTTTCCCCAAAATTAAAAACTTTCAATTTTTCAAACATGTAAGACTTTTATTCATCTTTGAAACACAAATAAAGATATTTTAACAAATAAGATAATTGACAATCCACACAATAACCACTTTGATGCCACAAAAAGTTCATAAAGAGATCGTAAAACTAATTCATATGAATTAAGTGGTTTGTTCCAAATTTTCAGAAGAGACTCGATCGCTTTATATGACGAACAGATTGAATTTAGGCTTTTATTTACATACGTATAAACATTGTGGTAAACGGAAGCTCAAGCATGTTCACTTGATGTGTGGGAACCAATGGGCTTCTGTAAGAGGTTTGTTCTCGTGTGTCAACCACACTGTAAAATGATTTGTAATCACAACATTTTTTCTTTTGTCAAATCAACTTAGATAATTTATGTAGTTCAGATAACATAATATGTTGAGTTTCTGGTGATTAAATTAATCTCCTTCATTGTATTAACTCAATTTTTCCATTTCAATGAACTTAACATTTTAAGGTAACCAGGTTACTTATTTTTTTAAGTTAAACCAACAATATTTTTTTTAGTGTAGGTTCGGTTGAGCTTCTTTCGTTTATTTTGGCTGATCAATGTTTATATGTGAATAAAATCCTAAATTCAATCAGTTGATCATATAAAAGCGACGAGTCTTTACAGAAAATGTGGACAAAACCGCTTAATTCATATGGATTAGTTTTACGTTCTCTTAATGAACTTTTTAAAGTGTCAAAGAGGTAGTTACAGTATGTGGACTGTCAATGGAGGGATAGATATCTCTCAGGTTTCATTAAAAAAGTCTTGCGGATTTGGGACGAATTGAGGGCGAGTAATTGATGACAGGTTTTTCATTTTTGGATGAACCCTTTGACTTTTAATTTTACAGAAAAGAGCAGCTTGGACATTCTTCCAAAATGTCTACTTTCAGGTTTCACAGAAGAAAAAAGTTCAAAGTCAAAAGGTGAGTATATGACAACTTATTTTTAGGGTGGTCTATTCCTTAAATATGCAATGAATACAAGTTTAGATAAATGGTAAATGGACTGCATTTTTATAGCACTTTCACAGATCCAATGGCCACCAAAGCGCTTTGCCTCACATTCACCCATTCATTCACCAACGGTATATGAATCAAGTGTTTTTATAGATAGATAAAGGGTTTATGGTGGTAAGAGTGAGTATTCGAGTAACACCATAGATGTTGGTCTGAGCAAGAAACTCATTCATGTGTTAGTTACATCTAGACTTGACTGCTGGAGTAGTGTTTTGGCTGACTTGCCAAAAATCTCTATCAAACACTTATAATTAGTTCTGAATGCAGCAACAAGAATGCTTCCTCGTACCAGTAATCACATCCAGGACTTAAATCACATCACACTCTGCTTGTGTCTTGCAGAAATGATTACAACAACTCTCTTATTAAATTTGTTAATGTATCCATGGTGTTGCGCCAACATTCCTTGCTGGTCGTATTTAAAACATGGCTGAAAGTGTCAAGTCATATTTGACTTACTACATATTCCCAAGCATTCCCAGTGCACTATTATAAAATATCACACTCAAAGAACTCTTATTTACTCTGGATTCATTGTTATCCTATATAATTACATTTTCTTTTCTCCTTACTTTGTTCTGCATTTTAATTTCTCTTAACTTTCTTGTCATCTCCCATGTGCATGTTTGACCTGCCAACATTTTACTGTAACATTTTACAGTAACAGTCCATCACACTGACTCTGGGCCTCCTTATTGTTGATGTCTGTACTGTACACTGTAATTCACTTTGTAAATGCTCGTTTAAAAAGTGCTCTATGAATGAAGTTTTACTTATTTGTCACAATCATACTTACACTGCTTTGGCACTTGAATCTTCTGCGACGTTGAGCTCATTGGCCATGAACTGACGGTCCAAGGGAACTTCAGGCTGACCTGATTCTGATACATCATTTCAAACAAATCAACATTCAAAGGTTTGTTTTTATAATGCATTTTATATTAAATAGTTAATTCACACAAAAAAACGAAAAATATCCCTTAATTTACCTACCCTCAAGCCATCCTAATTGTATGACTTTCTTCTTGCCAAACACAATCAGAGAAATATTAAAAATACCCTGGCTCTTCCCAGCTTTATAATGGGAATGAATAGTACATGAGATTTTGAATCCCAAAAAAGTGCATCCATCCATATTTATCACTTTATAAACTATAATCACTAGTTTCCGGTAATGGCTGTACACGAGTAGTGTTACGGCGGAAGAGTGACCTCTGACCTGACGCATAGTGTAGGATGTAGTAGTAGCATAAGCTTAGGTGAGAGTAGTACGCTCTCTCGTGGTTCAAACAAATAATCCTTGAAAATGTCTCTGTAAAAGTTCTTGTTTCAGACTTGCTTCATGACCAGTGTTTTGTTTTGCTTTATTATGGTCATGCATCAGGGAACTAGACTCGCGTATGGCCATTACGGGAAGCCAGTGATTATATGTAGCTGATAAAGTTATAAATATAGATATTTTTCTTACAAAAATGCATCATTTCGATTTGGTTCGATACCTGGGGCTGTGTAGATTACTTTTATGATGGATCATCATGGATGGATGCACTTTTTTGTGCTTCAAAAACTCATGTACTATTAACTTCCATTACAAGGCTTGGAAGAGCCAGAATATTTTAAATATATCTCCAATTGTGTTTGGCTGAAAGAAGAAAGTCATATACACCTGGATGGCTTGAGTTGAGGGTGAGTACCGCTAAATTATGGTTTCATTTATTTTTGTGTGAATTAACTTTGATGTGTATAATGAGTGACCGTGCATATATGGTCTTCCTGCAGTGCTCATCTGCTCACCTGCGGTCAGCACTGATGCAGTGTATCTATACTTATTGAACTCCAGATATTCTCGGATCAGTTCATTGATCAGCAGGTTCTCGTGCGACAGTGGCGGGCGCGGCGTGTTCTGGTCATCCAGCGCGCTGAACACCTCGGCCCGGATCCTCGCCTTCAGCTGCCCGAGCACCCCACGGGCCTCCAGCGTCTCCTTCAAGGCTATAGAGACGATTCATGTGAGAACAGAGAGAGACAGCAGTAGATTAATGTGAGAAACAGAGAGAGACTGCACTCAGCTGGGCTAACCTAGCGTTACACAACAACTGTGGAGAGATTTGGTGCTTTGGTTTAAAACAACAACATGAATACTATGAAATGTAACGATGGTAGACTTGACAAAAACTGTCAAAATAATCATAACCACTATTATATAATGCATTATTTCAATTTTTGAGAATCAGCTCACCGCTTTTCAACTCTGTGATGGTTGCCATTGAAACCCTTCTGCACTTCTCAGACGCTTCCGCTAGAGGTCAGATTGCGCTTACTACGTAAGTTACACGATTGGACTACTTAGCCATTCCACTCTGGCAAGGGACGTTAGAGAATATTCATATTGGTTTTCAAAATAGCCTATGAAATAATAAATTTCTTAAAACAAAGTCGCTTTTTTACCTTTATTATCCACCTTTAAACAACAAAAACATTATCATTGTTTAACACAAACACCATACATTCAAGCATCACATCATCGAAGGAGATTAATACAAAAATAACTATGTGGTTAATCAATATACATTGCAAGTAATTAAGAGAGTTTCATTGTGTTCATTCTGTCCGTTTTTCCGACTAATTTGACCTGTTATGTCAGTGGAAAGATGACGTGAGAGCCACTTGACGTCATGCGGAAGAGAAGGTGGATTGGCAAATCTTTCTGCTTGCGAAATTCTTTGCTCGCTTTTGTCCCGGAAGGACAAGCCTTTTCATGGTGTCAGTTGTCGTCATCCTTCGTGCCAAAACAACTTCTTTCTAGACCAGGCTGTAAAATGGCTGGAACAGCTTTAAAAAGACTCATGGCCGAATACAAACGTAAGTCACTTATTGGCAATTATATTTTAAAGGCAGCGCAAAGCTAGTGCTTGTGAATTGTGGATTTTACACTGTTTTGGTAGCAACAGTTTGGCAGCGGTTGTCCCCTCAAGCAGACACGGATAACGTTACTTCCAGAACTTCGCTGACATATGATGATGACAGTATGAATTATTAATAGGTTGTAAGCTATTTTTTACAGTCTATGGTTGTAAGGCAACAGAAGTCGCACTGAGCAAACCGAAACTGTATTCCGAAACTATAAGTCTAACGTTAGTGCTGTCACTGAAGGAAACTGTGATGATGACGATGTTTAATTATAGTTCAGCATATTTACACAATACAGCTAATTTATCTCAACTCCTTTCATTTTTTCCACAGAACTAACTCTCAACCCTCCAGAGGGGATTGTGGCAGGTATGAAATAGAGCAGTTACTAAACTGCTCCATTTACCCTGATTTTACCGTACTAACTTAACTTATCTAATGATTTATCTATATTGTATATTGACTGAGACTCATTTCATCCCTACAGGGCCTGTAAATGAGGAGAATTTCTTTGAATGGGAGGCTTTGATTATGTAAGTGGCCTATTATTTTATTATTTTATTTTTTTATTTGGTTAATTTACTGCGTTTGCGTGAGAAAATGTGTTTCTTGAAATTTTAGCGACAATCAGATTTCCTCTGCCATGTCTAGTGTGACCCAGCAGAGAGGGCCAATACGCCATAGCTTGATTTCGCTCATTCAGTACAGTAAATCTTTTATTATTCTTATTAATGCATTTAATTTGCAGTGTACTGACAGAACACAGACATTAAAATGTTAAAGTAAATAAAAATATATGATGATAATGGTTTTTTTTTTTTTTTTTACATTTTTCTTAATTATGTTGAATGCTCCCAAAACAATAGACCACAACTCCACAACTTCCAATACTGATGGAATCTCTTTCACAATAATTATTTTCCCAGCTGATGAATGATAAAAACTTTGACAACCAATCAGAATCCATCCTGAGCTCAAGCATTTAAAGCAGCAGATGACATAACTGCAGTTCATGCTTATAGTGATGTCCTATTATTAAGAAAAGTAATAGCACACCTGTCCTCAGCAGCTGAAAAATTGAGGTGTCGTTTATGTCTGTATGTAGATTAAGCATGAGACAAGTTACTCGTAGAATAATAACACATGTAAAAATATCACATTTATAGAAATAAACTCTCAACCAGGACAAGTGGTTTCAGAGCTTCTGGAGTTTTCTCATTGTGCTTTGTGTTTTTAATCCGGTTCAGGTTGCATTCACCTCAAAAATGTAAAATGACACCGTGAACTAATTGAATCACTATAAGTCACAATAGCTATGTTTCCAACCAAAGTTTTGAATGTATCTTATGTGCAAAACTGGAATATTGCATAAAACATTTGCATTAAACATTTCCATCCCATGTGTTCAAGAGAAAGAAATTGTCACTTCCTGGGAAACTGTTGCAAGATATCTTTGCAATTGTGGAAGCCACTGTGGCTCATCATGTTATCTTGGGTTTGGTGGTGGATATCTGGTGTTTGGGAATGTAAAATCATGTTAGACTGTTATGGGAGGTCATTATACCTAACATTTTTTGATAACAGACTTTGGCTCTGGCATTTCAGAATGGTCAAACCAACATTTGAGATGCTGTGCAATTTGATTTGTCCACCGGTTAGTCCAGTTATCCAATATCATCCTCTGTTAAGGCAAAGGTTTTGTGTTTTTTTTTTGTTGGGCATTAAAGGGATAGTTCACTTTGAAATTAATTTTTGATATGTTTTAGCTTACCTCAAGGGCATCCAAGTTGTAGGTGTCTTTGTTTCCTCAGTAATTTCAACTTTGATATTTTTAGGTCAAACCGTTGTTGTCTGTCAGTCATATAATGGAGGTCTATGGGGTTCACCTCAAAGAGCATGCACAGAGAAGTCCAAATTAAACATGATTCGTAAATGTAAGTACACATTGATGGCCTGAGACACAAAGCGAGCGGTTTGTGTGAGAAAACCAACAGTATTTATCATTTTTACCTCTTGTAACCACAGCCACGTCCAAGTGATCTGAGAGCGCGGGCGCTTTCGGTCTGCGCATGCGCCACAAGTGATTCAACGAAAATCGTCTTCCATTGCAATTTCTTGTATATCTAAATATGTTTAGATCTTCACAGTGAAAGGTAAAACTTCCGAAATCTCTGTGTAAACAATGAGTGACGTACACGCGCGATAGATCACTTCCGGTGCATGCGCAATTGGATGTGGCTGTGTTTACACGAGGTAAAAACGATATAAATACAATTTTCTCACACAAACCACTCGTTTCGTGTCTTAGGCCATCAATGTGTGCTTACATTTACAGTACGAGTCATTAAATCATGTTTAATTTGGACTTCTCTGTGCATGCTCTTTGAGGTGGTGACCATAGACCTCCATTATATGACTGACAGACAAGAACGGTTTGACCCAAAAATATCAAAATTGAAAAAACTGTGGAAACAAAGACACCTACATCTTGGATGCCCTTGAGTTAAGCTAAAACATATCAAAAATTAATTTCAAAGTGAACTATCCCTAGGGATTCATTTGGTAAATGTGTTTCATTGTAGTTTAGGCGCATCATGTTGTCTTATTCATTAAGTGATGCTAATTGATTTTGATTTTGGATAAGACCAAACAATGTGTCCTCCGGTAAACCAAACTGGTGGTTAGATCAGTGGTTTTGACTGATAAGTTTTTAAGTGAAACTTATTGCCAAGCATAATAAGGAACAGTGTCCCTAGCAACTCCCCGACAGCTGTTCCACAGATACGGAACTGTGCTCGTTTGATGCGCTCCTCATCATGATTGCCGATCAATATCTGCCCATAGAAACAGTATTTGATAGACAGCTGGATAAGTAAACAGAAAGAGATTTGCATGTTAAATGGGCCTTTGAGAACGATTCCATTAAGTTCTACCAAAGCTGTCAGTAAATCATTCAGATTTATGAAGTTGTGTGATTTTATGATTGTGATTGTGCAGTTTTTTATGTTTAAGTACAAGTATTTTATGTGGAAGATTGTAAATGTTTTCACTTGCCTCATATTTTTAAGCGATTCTCGCAAATAAACATTTGAAATAGTGTTTGTCCTCAACCAAAAGATGCCGTCAGACTGGATTTTTCATTTGCGTTTCACCTCTGTGCATCTAATTCCTGATGTTAATGATTTTTATTATATTCTGAAAAATTAATTTTCGGAGTGAATCATTCTGAAAAGATGCCTGTGTAAATTAGTGTAAGTGTGCTTTCAAATTTCTAATAAAACTACTGAATGCTAGGGATTTGTGGGTAATACAGTAATAGCTTATCCAGACATTATAGCTGCTTCTCAGGGGGGTTGAGGGGTCACTACTGGAATGCTTCAGTTCATTGTTTCTTTATTAGCTCTGTTGCAACACTGAGCTTTAGAACAAAGCATTAAGTGATTAAAAATGAATAAATGGCGGTCCTGCTTGTCTGGATATATTGCATCACTTTCTAAAATCTGTTCTTGTTTTCTTATTTTAGGGGACCAGAGGACACATGTTTTGAGGGAGGTGTGTTCCCTGCCATCCTTAGTTTCCCCTCAGACTACCCCCTCAGCCCCCCCAAGATGAGGTTCACCTGTGACATGTTCCATCCAAACAGTGAGTGGTCTTTATTCTGGACTACACATTCAGCATTCAGACAGTGTATGTGGGGTTTGGTGACTCAAATATTCATAAATGTCAGATTGCTTCGGTATCACTTTACTTGAAGTGGTGTGCATAAGACTGACATGACACCTTAATAATCATGACGTGACACATGACACAAGTTTTATGCATGTTTATGACAACTGATATTAAATGTCATTCGCTCAGTAAGTTATGACATTTTTAAAGCAAATATGACATTGTTTGAGATGTCTTTAAGACACCTTGACATAAACCAATAGATCATAACCTGTCAGTGTCTTTGTCATGACAACTTGACATTACTAAGACAACACAACCTGTTATAAACATGACAAAGCAGATTAATGATCAAACTTAAGAAACCACTTCGCTTTATGGGTTAACATTACATTAAACTGTCAGATGGTTGGTTTTGACATTGGCTGTCATGAGGCCATTATAACATTTTAATGACAATGACATTTTAATAGTTGAGGTCACGAAGAATATTCATGACACAGTTATGATGGCCTCATGTTAGCCAATGTCAAAGCCAACCATATGACAGTTTAATGTAAAGTTAACCCATCTTTTAACTTAGAGTTTCTTTCTTCTGTTGAACAACAAAGAAAATATTTAGAAGAATGTTGGTAACCAGACAGTTGATGGCATCCATTGACTTCCATAGTATTTTTGTTGCAGGTTAGCCACCACAACCAATTAATGTGAAAAATTAAAGTGCTCAATATGTATAAATTAAAAAAATGTCTGTCTTAAAATGTGATTT